TAATTGAGAACATGTGAACTCTCTTGTTGTTGTTAGAGTTATGGCGCTGTGAATTGTATTTTATAGAAATTAAGGGATATAAAACTTATTGTTTTTATGGTTGGTTGACGTAATAAAGGGAAATATAAGTAGAACAATCGAAGGTTTATACGAAAGATATGAATTATATTATCAAAAGTTAACACCCTTCAAAATAACACTCTATGCAGTGTACATTCGATACACAAAATCTGTCACCTCCATTTCCAATCACGTGAAAATGGGCAGTGCCACGTGTCTGTTCTGGCTGCCCCTACTCGAAAATCGGGGTAGTCAGAACATTTCAGAACAGTCATGTGACTGTCTTCTGTTCCATTCATTAGTGTTCCGAAAATCCGGAGTAATCCGAACAGTAAATGGAGCAGCTTGCAGATGATTTTAATCGTCAAGGGGAGAGTGTTGGCATTCAATGGGTTAACACAATTAAGATGAGATAATGTATGAAAGTTGAAAATGTTTGACTTGATGGGTAATGGGCATTGGGCAAGTTTTGTTTCTTTAACCCATTGAGCACCAGTACTCTCCCTTTGACGAGTAAAATAAAGGCGCATTATGGCGCAATGCAGTTTAATGGGTTAACATGTTTTCAAACAGCTAAACGAAGGTAAACGGATAAACAATTTAAGGTCATTGTACAGTGCAAAAAATATATTACAAGGTTTCACAAGACTTGAAATTTTTAGTACTATCCAATTGGATATTTGAAATCTGAAAAAAATCTAGTATCCCTATGTAAATCTCTGTGCAGGAGAGAAATTAGGTTAGTATCCCGACCCAATGGCTACTAAGCTTGTCATTTCCACTAACCAAATTTAAAATTTGGCATCCTGTCGATATTGGGATATCATAAACGTCAAGCCCTGAGTTAGTTTACGGTATTAGGGAAGGCTCGAATATATGGCATGACATATTTTTTCCTTAATTAAACATACGCTTGAATTAATATGAAATAGTCAAAAATAATGTTGAAATGCTCTCAATCTCACAAATCTCTCAAAAGAAATCCTTTACTAAACTTGACCACAACATTCTTCTTGTATACTGTATCAGTACTTTATAACGCGACCTTTCCCATCGCCATCTCCCAGTTTTATGAGAAACCGCTATGCCTGTGGGCTAAAAATATACATTACGGTCGATGCAATGGAAGTGTTGATAAAATATTGCATGAATTCATTTCCTCAAGTTGATCAATTCATACGAATTCAAATTTCTTTTTACTTCCTGTGCGTTTCCTATTGGTCAATCGGTTCTGAAACGAAATCTAATTGGCTCATCTAAAAGTAACAGGAAGTTGATCAATTTTCTATCAAATGAATTGATCAACTTGAGGAAAAGAATTGGTGCAATATTTTATCAACACTTCCATTGTATCGACAGTAAAAGTATCGCAGTTATAAAAGAAGTTATAAAAATTGTCTGGAAAATTATCTGCTAATAAGGCCTGACGTGTTTGGTACGAAGGCAAGGGGTTTTGTAAAATATGTCGTATTGATGTCTTTTTGGCAGAAACATATATTTGACCATTCCCTTAGTGTATAATTATACTAGTAATATACTCGGCATGAAAAATTTCTCAATTCTGATGGGCTAAGAGCAGTGCAATTTTTTCGAATGTTTTTCCAAATTGCACTCGAGACCATACTATTACCTATACATATTTTTATGTGCATCTACTGCAGAATATGGTCTTGCGACGTTTCAGGGCACCAGCGCTCTCCCCTTGATGAGTAAAATCGCCTGGCGTTAGACAGAGTAAAATAACAAAGTAAGGCACTTTAGGGTGCAATGCAACGCGACGGGTCAACTAGTCTGATTGAGAGAACTAGTCTCCCATTGAAGAGTAAAATCGTCTGCCGTTCGACAGATTAAAATTCAAAGTAGGGCACATTAGCACGCAATGCAACTCATGGGTTAAATATACTTCTCAACCATAATTCAAATCGGAACCAGTGTTGGCTCAAAATTAAATACCCTGTGTAAAGACGTTCTGTGACCACATCCCCCACCCCTCTATTGCCAACTTGTGTCCTATATATTCTACACATTCCAATATCAAATAATATATAGTTCCAATATACCTTGTCTAATACTCTCATTAAACAATCTGCCCAACGTAATAAATGCTGTGATATAGGTTTAACAATTTATGCTTGACTTTAAACAATGTATATCATATTACGTGCGGGGACTTCAATACCCCCAATGTTTTGCGATATTACCCACCAATGCTTTGCGGGCAAAAAAACGTAAAAACTTAAACCGTAAATTGATATCATATTACGTGCGGGGACTTCAATATATGCCTCCTCGAGGGCCAAAACCCTGCCCCAGAGGGTCAAAACCCTGTCCCCAGAGGGCCAAAACCCTGCCCCCAGAGGGCCAAAACCCTGCGGGGGCAAAAACTATAATAAATGCAAAATACAACATTCCTCAAATTTTCAGCGTCACAGGATGTTAACACGTCATGTGTTAATCTAAAACATTAATATCATGCTTGTTTTGGCGAATGCTTCACTGATTTCAAAATGTCTGAGGTAGTAACTGGTGTTGTGAAACTTACATTTGGCTTTTTAGCGAACAAGATTCGCAGTGGAATTGTAGAACGTTTGAAAGATGGCGACGTCACGGACGAAGAATGTCGGCGCTTGATCGTCCGAGAACTTGACGATATCAAAAGCAAATTAGATGGTTTGGCAAGAAGTAGCCTTTTGAGTAGCCTTTGTTTTCTACAAGAAGGAATGAATGGACTATATCAGTCCCTAATTCAATTGGATTCAAATGAGAATACAGCAGAATCGACCGGTCAAGCGAACTTACTTGAAGCTGCGTCATCCAGAGACACTGGTTCTGATTCTCCTATTAACGAAGCTATTGCTCTTATAAGTACCATCACGTCATTGAAAGTACGTTCAAACGACCACTTCAAGTCTGCAATAGAATCGTTCAAACTCGCGCGTGAAAAAGCGGCCGAAGCATTCTGTAACGAAGCGTTGTCCATCGAAGACCGAATTCAAGCGTCGCAGATAAGAATGATGGCGAGAATTTTAGAGAAATTGGAACATCCAGACGCAAGCGCTAGCGATTGCTTGCAGTACCTTCAACAGCTTCATGATATCGGAGCTATTCAAGAAATATTTTCCGTTCTGATTGAGGGAGGAATCAAGTCGAGGTTCAATAAAACGAAGCGACTTAACAATGCCTCGTCAGTTCAAGTCATGAATCAAGTATTGTTTGAGTTCGTCAAAAGGTTGACGAAACCGTCATTGGTCACAAGGATTTCTGCCTGGCCAACTATATTGCTCGGTGAAAAATCTTACCATCCCGTGCTTGGAGAAGAACGCATTATTGAAAAACTTAAAGGGACAGGTATGCAAGTAATGTCACTAGGTTCAGATTTTAGATTTCATGATGAAAACATTTACTCTGGATTTCGTTCTGTCGTAAACAGCAAGGGAGACATCGTTGCATTGACGCGGGATAAACGTACTTTTAAATTTTTTAAACCTTCAGGGGAAAGTCGTATTCTATGTGAAGCTCCTAACGAAGAGCATGAGTCAGAATACTTCGGCGTTACGGCGATGGATATCGATGCCGAAGATAACCTATATGTCATCACTAGATTCCGAGGAAGCGATGATCAATCAAGGAGTATGAAGTTGTCTATCTTTGATGAGAATGGAAACAAAAAACTTGAGTGTCCGTTACCATTTCATCAAGGCTCTTTAGCAGGAGGGTGCATGGCAATAAACAAGGATGGGAAGATTGCCATTTTAAATTGCGAGGGGAAAATCCTGTATATTGGTAACATATGTATGGAGCTGAATTCATTTGAAATCGACAAAAGTTTTTCTCTCGAAGAATTATATGTCAGGGGCTATTTATCGCATGCGAGCATAACGATAAGGTTTTCAAATTTTAATGGAACAAAAATAATTGCCGCAAATAGATACACTGTTTATATCTACACAGAAGATGGGCAAATACAACGCAAAATTAAGATACCCGAAGAACATGGATGTATTGAATCGGTTGCAATAAATCACGTCACACAACGTATTCTAGTTCAAACGTGTCAGCAACCAGGACGTAGTCTGCTGAGTTTCTCAGACACTGGAGAACTAATAGACAGTTTATGTTTGGGATCTAGCGAGTGGATTAGATATGCCGCGCTAACTTCTCACCCTAAAGGTCCAGTTGTTTTAGTTGGTTTAAGAAAAGCAGCTTTACTTCAACTGTAGTAAAACCACGTACATGAATGAAAATTTTGAAAAATGAGCTGAACTTATTATATGAACAATTAAACTGATACGTGGTAAAGTGCAGTATAGCTTTGACTTTTGTTATTTTCATAGATAAAAATAGATCGCTTATTAAACACAACATATTCATTAAAAAACAGCGAGAAGTGAACAATTAAGTTGATAAAATAAATTATTGTTTTGTCTTTGTAATTTTTGTTAATTAAAAATATATTGTTAATCAAACACAATATACATATTCATTAAAATACAGCGAGATATAAAGACATAGATGGGACAAGTATGACAAAATGTGATACACTAATGATGATCCTATAGTCACTATCAGAAATTTAGGCCAAGTTCAAGCAATCAAATGTTGAACTTTTCATGCACCGAACTTATTGCGAGCAAATCAATGTTTAATATAGCTGTATACACATATACAAAATTCTCCTGATTTGCATGAACTTTTTCGCCGATTGGGATAGTTATAATATTTTTTTGAATAATTTCATAAAACACAACTGTCGAAATCTTTATGTTTCACACACTAGATTCATATCCGCGTTCTATCATACACACATGATTTTGGGCGTCTCACTAGATATAACTAATTGTTAAAGGCACTAATTTTTGAAGGCACTAATTGTTGAAAGGGAGTCCACCAATTCCTTCAGTGATTAGTTATATTGAGTGTAGATGTCCAAATTCATGATATCTACCTATATACCTTACATCGGCATCACCATTTAGTATTTATATATGAATTTGCGGCTAGAGCTCGACAACCGTCTCTCTACAAAATTCAGTTGGTTAGAGTGCTTCACCGGAATCGATGAGTCGCAGGTTCGATTTCTGTCATACATGCAGAGGAGCAGAGATGTACGCCTGGTTAGGTGTAAAAAATGTATAAAAAATTCCACTCAAAATTTCCATCTACTAACCCTTTCTCATACATACATACAACCTTTCGTCTTCGGCTCGAGCTTTTATGTCTGATACAGCACGGCCGCTAAATAGAAAGGACTTAAACGCAAGGGTGGATAGTAGCGAAGCAGTTGTAGTTCGCTACTGTAGCCGGAACTACAATTTTCAAGTAGCCAGTAGTTTTTGACTACTTTTTTAAAACAGTAGCTGTAGAGCGAACTACATTTTGCCTAAAAGTAGCCAAGTAGTTGGCTACTTTTCAAACGGCGAATCGCTATTCGCTACTTTTTAAAATTGTTAGCAACTTGATAGAATAGCATGATATTGAGACACGGTCTGCTTAAAATCAGTACACAATAGTCAATTTGCACTCCTGAACACTGTAGTGCTTACAAAAATGTTGCTTTGTGTTTACTGTTGTCTGTTGCTACTCGTAAGTCGATTTGTTATAGGTTGCATTACAGCCCGAGTTAATAGTATAGGTGCTTCAAATACAGTAAAACTAAAAAATATAGATTAGCGAAATAGCAAAATAGTTCGCTACATTTTTTAAGCAGTAGCTGTAGTCAGTAGCGAACTACCTTTGTTCAAAAGTAGCAGTAGTTGTAGCTGACTACATATTTTTGAAGTAGCTGCAGTTATAGCGAACTACAAAAATTTTGTAGTCAACCCACCCTTGCTTAAACGTGATACTGATACAGAATACGTTCGCCACCAGCTCATGCAGATGTATATTTATATTTCACTGATTTTTCATATGGTACGATTGGAACCTATTTTTTAAAATAATTCCTAATTTTTAAAATAATTAAGTAGACTAGGTCTATGCCAATAGGCAATTCTAGCTTTTAGTTTATGCGTGCAGGGGACGATGGGAAGTAAGGTATCACATTGCTGATTATGCTGAAAAAATAGAAATGGTGGCCGTGTAAACACGGAGTGATACTTATACTTGTAAATAGTGAAATATTTCGGTTGTTTCGGTAGTTTTTATTGAAATTTTCAGCATAATCAGCACTAGATACCTTACTTCCCATCATTCCCTGCAGGCATAAACTATAAAAGCTGGAATTGCCTATTGAACTGCGATGGAACACGGAGTATAGCTCTCTCTAGCATCTGAGTTGTTACAAGTGCAGTACTCAACAAATATAAAAAAATATATTGGCTTACAAACGTAATATGATGAACATGCCGCTAAAAATGATAAAGACGTCTGAGTATAACAAACACATTGATATAACTAATGACTACAGGGTGACTAAAAAAAACTGATACCTTCGCGGCTAATTTGAATAACAAAGGTGTCAGTTTTTTTTTACTCACCCTGTATAACAAAAACACATTGATATGACTAGTGACTATAACAAACGCATTGAACAGCAGCTTTTTTTAGCTTATTGTCTAAAAGGCTATTTAATTGTTAAGAAATGTACTTTTGAACATAATTTTTCATGAGTGATTCTTTCACGATAAAATTCGAAGGGCCAAAACAAATAGTGGGGCAACAATCCACACACTGCCACGGAAGCTAGCGAATTGTAAATTCTAATGAAATTCTGACCGAATGTAAAAATACGATACTTTTTCAGCTAAACTTGTCATTCCTCATGCACATTGCAGTATTCACCAGATGTGTTTCTTAAGTCTAAATGAATTTGGACATTATGACAGAAAATCATACTACGGACGTTACCTAAGTGTTTGAAGAAAAGACTTCTTATTATAAAGACTTATTATTATTATTAGCATGCGCATTGCGTGATTTCATGCATGCAAAGTTCGAACGCATCAAATCCATAGATATCTTATATACACTAGATAGCGCATTTCTTTTAGTAAAATTGAAGCCAAGAATATTCCAGCGGTAACCCCCATTTGAATAGAAGGCGGCCATATTGGAGTTTCCCACTAGCTAACAAACGCTTAAAAAACAACAATAACTTTCATCATTTGAATAGTTTGAAAATGTATTTGGAACAGGGTTAACTTAATGTTCAAGTTTCCTGTTTAAGAAATAGAAAACATACGAGTCCTCTCATTTCATGGGAATATCCTGAGTCTGGAATCACAGCTTCAATTTTTGAATTGCAGAATAATTAGATGCACTATCTAGTGTATATAAGATATTTATGATCAAATCATGCCCACAAATGCTAATACTAATAATAATCATAATATTTAATAAGTTGTTATTATCCAATTTTCGTTAAAAAGTACAATGGACTTACATTAAAACATTATTTGGTTAATACACTACGTCAATATATACATGTAAAATGCATCAACATATGTAATTTTGCATAAAAAGTCAATGATAATAGAAATTTCTCAATTGCTATTAATTGTTCCACGCTTATTTAGAAGTGAAACTGCTCTGGAAATAAAAGATAATCCATATCTTTTTGTATGGGAAACAGGCTCTGCTACACACGTAAAAATCTCACATCTTGTATCATTTCTGCCAACAAGCCGTCAAAACGTTGCCCAAATTGTTAACAAGTAATGTTAACAACTTGTAACAACCTTGTTGATACAGTCAGACTTGTTGCAAGGTTAATTGTTCCAACAAGTCCGATATGGTCATGATATAACAATTTTGAACACATTGTCAGCCTGAATTTCAAATGGCACACAACTGAGAACATGGCTTTGCCACTTGTCTCCCAGGTTACCACAAATAATGAATCCATAGTTTGGGTAACCCATTGAGTGGTAGCACTCTTCCCTTGACAAATAACATATTAATTGCTTGTGTACTTTAGACAGAGTTAAATATCAAAGTGGAGTGCAATGCCACCAAATGGGTTAAACATCAACCCATTAAGCTGTAATGTGCCCTAATGTGTAATTTTTATTTCTCTTTGATATTACTTGTCAAGCTAGGAGATATTGTATGGCTATTTGGTCAACCATGTTTTTTGCTGACTCATTAAGCTGCAATAGATGACACACTATTTCTGTCCCCGTTTAGTCGCATTGCACCCTACTTTATTATTTATATATTATATACTTTATTATTTATAGGCCTTTATTTTTTCACCTTTTCGCCCGCGCCTCTCTCCTCCGCCCGATTTTCACCTTTTATCGTAAGGCAGAAAAAATAAAGGCCTGACATTCAGGTAAACTGTATCTCGAATCTCGTGCCCAGACCATGCACGTTCGCAAGTTAGGCGTACGGGCAAAGTCCATTGGTAAACTTAGGGAGAGTAAGTTCTGTCATATAACTCCGTTACTACGATTGTTGCATTGGCTACCGGTTAAACAAAGAATTCAATTTAAGATACTGCTATTGACTTTTAGAGCTATTTATGGTAGCTCTCCACAGTACATTATGGATCTTATCACCGTCAAACAACCAACTAGATACTGTCTACGATCACAAAATAGTATAACGCTTATGCGCCCTAAAGGCAAATTTTTGGCAACTTTAGGAAACAGATCGTTTAGTGCAGCTGCGCCTAAAGTATGGAACAGTTTACCGGCTGAAATAAGGAACATTAGATGTATTAACGCGTTTAAATCATCAATTAAGACTTTTCTTTTTAACCAACACTTTTTACACTAGTATTTATTAACTACTCAAGAGTTATTGTAAATAGCGAATCTTATGTAAAATAGGTTAATTAATCTTATCATATTGTAACATCGATTCTAATGCGCAATTGAAAACAATTTGGTTGATATTTGCGCAATATAAATTAATAAATTATTATTATTATTATTATTTCGTAGCGTGTGGTTCCAAAGGGTACTACAACACCCTGTACTCATAATACTTTATCCCTCCAGATACAGCTGAAGTATCACCCATGGAAGTACAGCACACTTACCTCAAAAGCGATTTCAGAGGAGAGAGGTGCTATAAAAATATCGAGTTGCGTCAGGAAGTGGAAAAGTATCGGGCTCAATGAAAATCTCTCTGCCTCCCCCCCCCCCCTCAAATATCAAAGGTCCGGACGTTACTGGGTACGTTTATATGATATAATAGCTACCTCGAAACCTTTGTCTCGCGAGACGCGATTAATGACTAAATTATCTCATTGCTAAAACATGAGGGACGGTTAGACTAATCATCCCACGGGACGATTAGTTACTAATCGTCCCTCATCTTTATACATAACCTCTTATATTGATGTTCATAAAGACATGAAAGATCAACCGTAACCTCATTAACGAATATCTCAATAGTCATTAGTATCAAAAAGCAAACCCGCGTTTTCATTTCAACATGAAACCGCGCGATTTATTGTCTCGGTAGCTGTGATATTAAAAAGTGATAGCAAACCTCGAGAAGTTTAGTAAAAGTTAGACCTTTGGCGCTGTGCGCCTCGGGACTTTTACTATTAACCTATCTCGGCTTTCGGGTAATTGAATCACTAATCGACGTGAATGCCATGCTATTAGTAAATAGTTATAATAAATTTTGTGCTCAAATCAACGACCGTCTTGAAAATCAGTTCTTGCTATAGTTATGAAAAATTATATTCCTCAAATTTTCAGCGTCACAGGATGTCAACACGTCACGCGTTGATCTAAAACATTAATATAACGTTTGTTTTAGTGAATGCTTCACTGATTTCAAAATGTCTGAGGTAGTAACCGGTCTTGTGAAACTTACATTTGGCTTTTTAGCGAACAAGATTCGCAGTGGAATTGCAGAACGTTTGAAAGATGGCGATGCCACAGACGAAGAATGTCGGCGCTTGATCGTCAGAGAACTTGACGATATCAAAAGCAAGCTTGATGGTTTGGCAAGAAAGGATTTACTGAGTAGCTTTTGTTTTCTACAAGAAGGACTCACTGCACTATATCTGTCACTATTTCAATTGGATTCAAATGAGAGTGCAACAGAATCAACCTTAGTTAAAGCTGTGTCATCCCTATGGTCATTCAGAGACACTGGTTCTGATTCTCCCATCAACGAAGCTGTTGCTCTTATAAATGCCATCACTTCATTGGAAATACGTTCAAACGACCACTACAAGTCTGCCATAAAATCGTTCGAACTCGCGCGTGAAAAAGCAACCGAAGCGTTCTGTAACGAAGCGTTGTCCATCGAAGACCGAATTCAAGCGTCGCAGATAAGAATGATGGCGAGAATTTTAGAAAAATTGGAACACCCAGAAGCAAGCGCTAGCGATTGCTTGCAGTACCTTCAACAGCTTCAAGATATCGGAGCTATTCAAGAAATATTTTCCGTTCTGATTGACGGAGGAATCAAGTCGAGGTTTAATAAAACGAAGCGACTTAACAATGCCGCGTCAGTTCAAGTTATGAATCAAGTATTGTTTGAGTTCGTCAAAAAGTTTACGAAACCATCATTGAGCGCTAGGATTTCTGCCTGGCCGACGATTTTGCTAGGTGAGAAAACTTACCATCC